ACCTTCCTGTTGTGCATGGTGTCCTTCCGGAGAGTGGCGGACGTTCGGACTTTCAATAAGGACGCTTTCTCCATTGGACCCGAAGGAGTCACGTTCCACATATCGCAACGTAATAAATCCAATACAGCATCAGTATTCTATCCGTTTTTCAATTCGGATCCCCAGCTATGCGTGGTCCGGACCATCCGAGCCTACGTGTCAGCAACGGAAGGCTTGCGCTCACCGTCCGCACGACAACTCTTGGTATCATATGTGACTCCACACGGCCCGGTCTCAGTCATCACATTGGCCAGATTGGTCAGATGGATTCTCGCTCTAGCCGGGGTAGACGCCTCATTTGGCGCACACTCCGTTCGAGGGGCAGCGGCATCATCGGCATTTTTAGCAGGCGCCTCTCTGGCGGATATCCTACACACGGCAGATTGGTCCCGGGAATCTACCTTTCAGACCTTCTATTTCCGCCAGTCGTCCAATGCAGCTTTCGCTCTCCTACCTAAGCGTTAAAACTGCAAATACGAAGCCTCCTGTCATGTTATAAAATTGAAGATTATGCTAGCGCAGTGTACTAATAATCTTAATTTTAATAATGACAGGAGGCGAGTATTTCCCACCCTTTTCATTCTCATAGAAGTCCCCGCCCAGATGGAGGTAAGTAGTTGGTGGGAGTAGATTGGTTCTTTATCTGGACTCATTTATTTGGATTAGCATTTTATACAGATATATTTATTATAGGGCTATTGCTCTAGTTGGTATGGTGAATCTTTAGATGTCTTTATTAACTAGTTGATTCGTTACAGACAATTGGTTTTTATTTGGTCATTCCCGTATCAGTGATACTACTCTCTCTCTCTTTTCAGTTTGACAAACCACAGGGACGATGGAAAGGCTGAAGAGGCCATTGTTATGACCATGTTGGATTTCGTTATGACAGTTGGAATTAAGTTACTACGGACTTCTTACTACATTTGGATCTTGTGATGTCGCAGTAGTCAAGAGGAAATGGATGGCTACGCTGGGACTTATATATCCTCTGTTTTACTCTGATTGGTTCTTTCTTTAATGGTTTTTTTTCTTTGCAGCTATGGAGTTAGTAAAGAAAGTTAATGCAAATACTCGCCTCCTGTCATTATTAAAATTAAGATTATTAGTACACTGCGCTAGCATAATCTTCAATTATAACATGTACAGTGTCAGTTGAATCATGGGAATTATTAGTTCTGGATGTGCTTTGCAAAGTCAATTACAAAGCTAACTTAGCAGAATGGGCCAAAAAGAAAAGATAATCAGAAAAAATAAGTAAATTCTCAGCACATGGTATGTGTGGTTCATTACAGAAAAAGCATGAGAATTCAGCTTTAAAAGGTAAACTATAGCTGCTAAGGAAATTGTAGACGTCTAGGATGGAAAGAAAAAGTGATGAAATACTTGTACTTGTGATAACACGTGAATGCTTTGTTATAAAGTGTGAAAAAGCTATGGGCAGTTGTGAAATACAAGGGCAATCAATTAAAGTTAATATTGTAATACATTCTACCTGACTCTTAAAGTACCCTCAGAGATGTCCAATATTCCAGACCCGAGTCAAACAATATGTTATGGGCAATTTTTCAATGAATACAACAGAAGAATGGAAACATTATGTGATGAAGGAGATGTGAGATCTGGACAATTCCAAGTTTAAGCCACAAAGCAAAAGAATGATCAAGGTCATGCATTGTGAAACACAAAAAAAAACCTGATTAAACTTGCTTCTGCAGTGTGTTGAATAAAACTCAATTCAAGTTCAGCTAACAACTTACTGAGGTTGCTTGGAGTTGTATTCCGTTGAGGTTTGTGAGCAAGAGTTCATCAATTGTACCGACTGTGTAGTTGGACTGTGTATTGGCCTTGAATAAAACTTACTAGGAAAGGTTAAAGGATCCTAACATGTATAGCTTGGAGGAAAGATGAGACAGGGGGGATATGATAGAAAAACAAGAGGACATAGTCTTAAATTAGAGGAGCAAAGGTTTAAAAATAATTTCAGGAAGTATTACTTTACTGAGAGGGTAGTGGATGCATGGAATAGCCTTCCAGCTGAAGTGGTAGAGGTTAACACAGTGAGGGAGCTTATGCATGTGTGGGATAGGCATAAGGCTATCCTAAACTTAAGATAAGGCCAGGGACTAAAAAGTTTTTTGAAAAATAATTGGGCAGACTAGATGGGCAAATGGTTCTTATCTGCCATCTCATTCTATGTTTCTGTGATCTCCCACAAACCCCAGCCAGGCACTGCATGAGCATGGTGGTAGTTTTTGGCCAACAGAAACTGCCAATTCTGGAATTAAGTTTAAGTGGACACATATTGCCACTTGATTTCCTCTGGTCTAGTAAATAAAAATAAATATAGAAAGATGTATTTTATGTCTTCTTTGCATTCAGATTGGGGTTCTGTTTAGTTGATAACTGGGGCCATGAGTCAATGCTCCTGACTGTGCCCGCTTTTCCAGCCTCCACTCTCGATGCGTCAACTTCCCAACATCTCCTGGAACATCCCCATGTGACCTGTGAGGGGTGACACCGATTGGACTACAACTCAGCTGATGAAAGGAGCATTTCCAGCAACATAACCAATTCAGAACACTGCAGTGTCTGTGGTGCCATAATTGCCCCGGCGCCCTCATCCTCACTGTAAGTAGTCAAACCAGTTTAAAATGGTTTGGCTTCTTACCTATTACCATCCTACATGATATATCTCTTACCATAATATGTGTAGACCATGATAAGTTTCATTTTAGTATTGCTTCTTTTTAGTATTGCCACGCTATTATGCAGTTCCTTTTTTTGTTTGTTTTTAAATATCTAAAATAAAAGTGACATTTTAAATGGATTTCTGAAATGACACATTAACTGCTTATTTATTCACATAGAAAATCTTCCTAGTTGTGATGTTTGGAACACACATCTTGCTATTTGAGCTATAGAGTCAGACATCAGGTCTAGGTGACAGTCAGTCAATAAATGTTAATCTGGTCTACTCATTTCCACGATTATTGTCATTTTGTCAGTCAGACAGAAATCACAGTTTCAAATCTCTGTCTATAATAAATCACATGCAACAATATGGCACATTCATGTCTCCTAGAGGTCAAGGAAGTTAGAGCCGTGAAATGTAATAATAGAAAAATAAGTTCAATTTAAATTAAAAAATTGCAATATAGAAGATTTTCAGTGCTCTTTAGGGAGATGTTGTCATGCAAATAATATTATGCTTCGTTGGTAGGAAAAGAAACGCAGAATAATTCAGAATCATGACATCACTCTATAATAAACATTATTTACAATATCGCAGAGCAGAATAAGCTATTGGGTGTATACTGACCAAAGTAATGTTTCATGTCCAAATCTTCTCTGCAGCAGATCTGTTTGTAAGCTATATATTATATTCGATACAGTATATTTTAATTATCTCTAATTACCTTGCGTTTCAGCTCCCCACCCTGGTATGATGTGAGCTTTTAGTAACTACAGTGACCACTAGTGAAATAGATGCATCAGGCGTGTATCATTATATAATAGTTCAGTAATGACCTATGGGATAGCCCAGTAATTTTAAATAATTACTCATAGGATCCAGTGAACTGAAACAAATGTTAATGTTTAGCTTCAGATTAGCGTATTTGAGCTTTTGATCTCAAGTTATAAATTCTCAAATCTGGAATTCAGCAACCCCACAACGCTTTAGGATTTCCTCTCATGAGTTCATGTAACCCACATGGACACCCATCATATGGGTCAAAAAGTATCTTATTATCATGCTTCGAAACCCTAAAATTGGCACATAACATGACTTCGCTTCTTGGAGATAACACACAGGGAGATTTATCATTGTTGCAGTATCAAAGTCTGAAATATTGTGCAATTTTGAAAAAAATGAGTAATCACCAATGTAATGTGCCTCCTTGTTTCTTATGTCTAATTGGTGATTGCCCCACTTTTAGTACTTTACATACACCACTTTACAGAGCATAATCATTTAGTAAATCTCACTATGATCCCATCTCTAAATATAAGTGGATTCCATCATTGAAGAGAATGGGAATTTTAAATAATGATACGGGGAGATATCTATCAGGATCATCTACCTTCATAATACATTACTTAAAGAAACACACTACTAACAATCTGGATTGTTTTTCCTACCTCCGGTCTATTAAATGCATGTTAATGTAGATGTTCTGGGTAAAAGAGACTGTCATGCAGGCAGAACAGTGCAGGCTGCGCAGTGTAAACTCTGCCTTTTCTGAGTGTAGGCAGTGTTTACACTGCTCTGACAGCCACTAGGGAGACTTCCTTGATTATGTCCTGCAAAGAATGCAGCACTGATGTTCAGCGTCTCTACGTTTTGCATGGAGAGACAGAATGCTTCCTATAGAGATGCATTAGTGCATCTCTATGAGTAGATGCTAATTGATCACAGCGCTCATGCGTATTCGCCTCCCAATGCTTCTGCCTATAGTTTAGTTGAGCATTTATTAATCATTAACTGTTTTATAAAAATAAAAATGCTAATTCATACCTGATATATTATTTGTACTCTGAACAGGGCCGGCCTTAGGGGTGTGCGAGCTGTGCGACCGCACAGGGCGCCATGGAACAGGGGGCGCCCTGTGGCCGACACAGCTCACTCATGGCCGGAGTGCAGGGGAGCTAAAAGAGGTACCTGGCTGGAGGATTAATTATTCTCCACCCGGGTCTATTTAAAAAAAAAAAAAAAATCGCGGCAGAGGGGGCGGGGTTTACCGAGCGGCGGAGGCGGGGCTTATCGAGAGGCGGAGACGGGGCTCATACCTCCCGAAGCCCCTGCTGTACAGGAAGAGGGAAAGATGCTTCCCCATCAGCCAACTGCATCCACTGGAAAGAGGTAAGTGTGTGTGTGTGACTGTTTGCCTGTTTGTGTGACTGTCTGTGTGTGTGTGTGACTGTCTGTGTGACTGCCTGCCTGTGTGCGTGTGACTGTCTGTGTGTGTGTGTGTGTGACTGTCTGTGTGACTGCCTGTCCTTGTGTGTGTGTGTGTGACTGTCTGTCTCTGTGTGTGACTGTCTCTGTGTGTGACTGTGTGTGTGACTGCCTGTGTGTGTGACTGTCTGTCTGTGTGTGTGACTGCCTGTGTGTGTGACTGCCTGTATGTGACTGCCTGCCTGCCTGTGTGTGTCTGTCTGTAACTATCTGTCTGTGTGTGACTGCCTGCCTGTGTGTGTGACTTTCTATCTGTGTGACTGCCTGCCTGTGTGTGTATAACTGTCTATGTGTGTGTTACTGTGTGTCTGTCTGTGTGTGTGACTGCCTATGTGACTGTCTGTCTGTGTGTGTGACTGCCTATGTGACTGTCTGTCTGTGTGTGTCGCTGTAGCTGTGCCATTGTTTGTGCCTGTGCCTGTATGTGTGACTGCCTTTAACTGAGTGTGTGTGTACATGCCTGTAACCGAGTTTAAATTTCCCCCACCCCTTCCTGTCAAGGCCGCACTTTGACTGACAGACGCTCACTCACTGACAGACGCACACTCACTGACAGACACACACTCTCATATACACTGACAAACAATGACATACACACATACACTATTACTTGGACACACACTGACAGATGCACACTCTCACTGACAGACGCAAGCACTCACTGAAAGATGCACGACTCCACTGACCGACACATACACACTGACTGACACACACTCACTGACCGACACACACTCACTGACCGACACATACACACTCACTGACTTACACACTCACTGACTTACACACTCACTGACTTACACACTCACTGACCGACACACACTCACTGACGACACATACACACTCACTGACGACACATACACACTCACTGACTGACACATACACACTCACTGACTGACACATATACACTCATTGACCAACACACACATTCACTCACAGACACACACACATTCACTTACAGACACACACAATTACACACTTACAGACACACACACACACACACACATTCACTTCAAAATAAACACTCACAGACACACACACAGACATTTCCACTAACACTCACAAACTAATATTTTTTACATTTATTTTAAATCCACCCAGCCTCCCTGGGAAAGCTGGAGTGGATTTCTTACCAGCAGTCCAGTGTGGCTGCTGGGCAGGCAGGCAGGGGGCGCACAGGCTGAGTAAGCAGCGCTTAGTGATGCCGGGAGCCGGACTGACGTCATATTCTGGCTCCCGGCTTCATTAAGCGGCGCAGAGGAAGCTGAGCAGGAAGAGCTCAGGTGAGTATGCTCCTTCGCTGCCCGCTGCCAGCCTTGGGGGGGCTCAAAAGTGGCCAGCCGGTCAGCTCTTGAGCCCCCCAGGATGCGAGGCAAGCAAGGGATCTGCCTGGGGGTTTGGAGGGATGCTTTTTTTTGCCGCCCCCTGCAAAGTGGCGCCCAAGGCAGATGCCTTGTTTGCCTCGTGATACACACGTCCCCGGTGCCTGTGTGTGTTACTGTATTCAGGCAACTTGGTGGGAGGTGGGGGGGGCGCCGTGAAGACTTTTTGCACAGGGCGCCTAATTGCCTAAGGCCGGCCCTGACTCTGAAACAGGTGCATGATATATTTAACAAAAGTGTCCTTTATAAACGTGATTATTTCAATCTAGTACATGGTCTTTACAAAGTTGTAATCACTATATAAATAATCACCTTTGATGTACTGTTTATTTACTGGATACTGCATGTTACGAGAGAACCAGGGTTTGTGCGCAATCTAAATAAAACACTTTCTCCATTTCTATGTTTCAACTGGTCTGTATAGTGACCCTAAGTCCAATCTTTTCCCCCCCAAATATATTAAGTATCATTTTTGGTTGTAGGTAAAATTAATGTCAGTACAATGGCTTTATTTCTCCTCTCTACGTCTATTCAATCTACACAAGTAAATAGACACTATCAACAGGTGGAGACCATCAGAAGAGTTATAATGGCATAGAACTCTCATTAGTAAGATATGGTTTCCAGCCCTCAGCATTCTGGGATTAGAATTCTGACTTCTGTCTTAAGAACATATATCTGAACTCTTCTAGGCAAGTTCATTTTTCTGAGCAGAAAGCTTGTGTGCCAGCACATTTAAAGGTATCTAAAGTATTGATCTAAAGTCCCTCACATGCTTTATGTTATGCAGTAACTGGTAAAAAAAAATACACTTATGTTAACAGTGCCGAGGGAACTTAACAATGCTTTTCGTAGCAAGTTACAAGCCTTTATGAAACCGTTGAGTTTTAGTAAATCCTGTATAATGAGATATTGTGTGCATAGCTGCAAATTAACGAGTTCTAATACCCAACCATTGATTGATTCTGTTTGACCTTAAGTAAATCACTGCTTTTTTTTCTGCCAACATATCTGACAAATGGAGGCCATATGTGAATTATATATGTGCATTTTAATGAGTGGAAAAAAACGCAATGTGTTAAAGAGTTAACAAATTAGTGTTCTAACTCGTCATTGTGATTGTGCATTGTTTGTCACCTTTTTTTATATAGCAAAAGCCTCTTGGCTGTGTCCATGCATTGACATCCGCGTCTGTGATATTCATCAATGATTTTATTGCATGAGTCATTAAGTTGCTATGACAGTAAAACCACCGCGCTTGGCTCGTCTAAAGAACCTGAGACCGTATCATTAGCTTTATTACTGGTTGGAGTGTTTCACTATATTACCTTGATTGAGCCATTATTTAACCCACAATAATCACGCGCTTCAAATTGAGACATTTGATTAGGTATGACTTGCAGACGCTCGCTCTGTTGCTGGCATTTACTCCTAAGCAGTCAGACAGCAAATAACACATTTCATGTTGAAGAAATAAGAGCAGAAGTGTCTCTTTGTATTCCAGCTTCCTGCACGTAATACCAAGCAAAGCAACAACAGGCATGATAAAAACTCAGTTGTATAATGTTTCCTAGGGGGAATGAGGACCAACTATATATAGCCGAGCTTATATATGACCATGGCAATAGGTTAACATTTTATGGGTCATATGGATAAATAAGAATTTACTATGTTTCTGAAAAAGAAGTTTACCATTTACAGCTGTACGTTAACTCAATAATTGCCACAGTGTGCACTGCTAGGTCATGTGCAGGGTAGTCCTATGTACAAAGGTTGCATTCCATTATTGTTTTGTCGGTAGTTTACACTGCTTATATCTAGAGATGTCGCGAACCGTTCGCGAACTTCCAGCGAAGCTGCCTTCAACATGGATGCTGTCCAGGAGGTGGGAGGGTCTGGGAGTGAGGGTCTGCTGGAGATTGGCCGGGATGTGTCAGCTGACCGGAGCTCGCCGCCAACGGTTCGTGGCGAACCGCGGCGAGCCGTTCGCGGGAAGATCGCGAACGGTTCGCGACATCACTACTTATATCATCATACATAGATCTGTGCCAAAAACAAAAAGAGATCGCATTTCCTCATGATTGATGTTTGAGTTAGATATGATATCAGTAGTAGAAAGAGGATCCAGGCACTCCAAGTATCTTCAAATGTGTTTATTGGGACAATTGAGACACCGCAACGTTTCGACCCCTTTAAGGGTCTTTGTCTAGCTATCACAGGCAGTCACTAGTCCCTTTGTCACAGTCAGTCCTCATTAAGGCAGTCAAATATTGAAGGTATCCACGTTCAGTGCCAAGGATAAGGATACAGAATACTGATAATTCTTTTTATAGAGCAGCACTTGGATAAGTGGTGGAGTATGTGCCATAGGTCGCCAATTCTTGTCAATGTGAATCACTGAATTGGACCAGAGATAATCAGAATTACTTCCTCATGGCAGGCAGTATGATATGGAAACCAACCCAATCACATAAAGTTCTCATTTTATTCTGTGTAATCTTTCTGCATATACTATGTACTCCATGCAGTTATCTATTTTTTGTGTAATAATTATAAAATTCATAGAAGGTTAAATTACAGAATTATCTATAAACCCCCCTTTCCGATTAATTGTTTTTTTTCTCATACCTTCAATTCCCCTGCTCTTGGCTGTTCTTATGATTTCTGTAAGATATATTCCTTTGAAATCTGGCACAATGCAGATTCCTACTAGATTCCCCATAGCTCTCCTCTCTGCCAACAAACGTAACCTTGATAACTCCATTTCTTTTCCAGTCTCTCGCCATCTGGATGTGTTTTTTTTCTTCTTTTTTTTCAGAACTTTAAAGTTTCTTAAAGGTCTAGGGTACTTTCCACTGAAAATATAGATTTCATATAACACAACCTTATTTGGTAGGACAGCAAATTAAGAGAATCCCACTCAGCATTGGGCCATCTATTTATTCCATCTTTTGTCACATTAGTGGAAGTATCATAATTTAGGATATTTCCTTTCCCAAAATAAAAATCACCCAAAGTGTTGCTATTGCCAAATCTTTGTTCACACATACTTTTTTTTAGGTTGTTCAAAAACATATTCCTTGTGACATCCATGTATAATATATCTATAAACAAAATACAGTGGGACCTCGGAACTCAAACGTAATCCGTTTGAGAAGGCTGTTTGAGTTCCGATTTGTTTGAGAACCGAATCAACATTTCCCATAGGAATTAATGTAAATTTGTTTAATTCATTCCAGACCCCCAAAATTACATGAATGGGGATAGGTAACTGGTCTTCTGGCATTACATTCAAAAGCATATAAAATGGCTGTATCCGGTTCAAAATATCTAATACCCCTTTTTCCTCTGCTTGTATCCTTATGTCCATAGTCCCTCTTCCCTTACTCATGTCCCTTTGTCCTCTGGTATCCTTCTCCTCATATTTTCCTCTTTCTCCTTGCATAATAATTCTGTCCATATCCCTTCACTATTTACTTGTGTCCCTCTGTCCTCTGGTTTTCCTCCCCATCTATTCCCTTCTATCCCTTTACATAGTCCATCTGACCATATTTCCTCATTTCACATTTGTATCCCATGCTTCCCCACAGTTGTGTCCCTCTGTGAATCCCGCGTGATGTGTTCGGGTACTGAAATTTTTGTTTGACTTCCGAATTGTTCGGGAATGTTCGAGTTCCGAGGTTCCACTGTATATATCATTATATTTAGAATATTTTTAAACGTTAAAAATCACAACTAAACTGTTGGATTAACCTAGGAGGAACAATACTTAAATCTCAGTGTGAATGACAGTTAAAGGGACGTTTTAATCCCCATACAAAACTACAGTGTTGTGGATATGGTGAATAGAGTCTCTGGTGTCCATCCTGCATTTTTTTGACAAACTATATGGTATTAGAACTCTCCCTGGCACCCAGAA